CGTATGTCAAGAACGTTTCGGAAGCTGTCGGCCGCCTTCTCGCACCACTTGGAGTTGGAGTGGCACACAGACCGGAGGCAACCATCAGGCGTCTGATCATGAAACCGAAAGACCCACTGCCACGGCTAGAAACGTCTGGAGTCGTTTATCGGATCTGGTGCAGTTGCGGACAAAGCAACTACGTCGGAGAAACTGGAAGACTGCTCCGAAAGCGAATTGCCGAACACGCGGCAGCGGTGCGCGGAAATGACTCCAGCTCTCAAGTTGCGGCTCATTCGATGAGGCCGAAATTCTCGCAAGAGGTGACAACCGAGTGAGCCGGGAGCTACTGGAATCATGGTTTACTGGCCCCCAGTCCATCAACAAGTGCAACGATCTTCCCATTCAATACAGCGAGCTGAGACTTCGTCTAGGCGGAGTAATTGGCCACGCGGGGAGCGCACTGGTGAACACTCGTCCCAACGCCCGGATCAACGCGTCAGATGGTCGAGCAATCATCACGCCAACATCCAACGCACGTGATGAAATTGCAGCAATTATCGACTCGAATGTCGGCCATCAAGCAATGATCACACCAAGTGTGACAATCCCGGATGAAGGGGGAAGCCGTGAACGTTCATAGACATGCGGTAGCATGGCTGCTGCATCCTATAAATACCGCAGCCCCTTGTGCAACAACCACACGTTTCTGCTCTTTTGTCTTTGATGATGGATTCGAGTAGGAATCCGAAACGTCAGGCTAATAAAGCTCTTGTCCTGGCGATCGTGTCTCCTTCTTCGAAACAGTGGGTTCTGTTAATCGGTTCCTTGAACGTATAAAACATCTCAAACTAGAGCCAGATTAATCCATGGTATCTTTTGATGTCGTTTCACTCTTCAACTCCATTCCAAAACTAGCGATTGACGTTGTGAGACAAATCCAGGCTGATCGCTACTACGAGAGAGACAATCCGCTGAAAACCGAACATCTCATGAAGCTCTTACGATATTGCCTAAAAACATATTTCACCTTTGGTGGGCAAATGTACGAACAAATCAAAGGCACCCCTATGGGCTTTCCCATTTCAGGACTGATTGCTGAAATGGTTCTTCAATGGATAGAACGCTTGGTGTTCACTACTTATCAGCCAAAGTTCTGGGCTCGTTACGTTGATGACACCTTCGCCATTGACATATCATCTGACGTGGAGCACCTTAATGAATTACTGAACTCGGTTGACCCGAATATCCAATTCGCGATGTCCTTGTGCGTCGGCGTGCAATTAGGCAATTACAAACTATTGTTTTCATAAAAGCCACCAGCACAAGACAAATGCTACACTTCAACAGCAATCACCCCCTCTCATACAAACGCAGTTGTGTCCGTACTCTATTCCAAAGAGTTGAAACACACTGCAGCACACCAGCCGACAAAAGAGCTGAACGACAATACCTTCATGACCTCTTTCGAACCAATGGATACCCAAGCTACTTCATTAAGCAAAGCAAGCGCCGAGTGAACAGGCGACGGCCACAAGAAGAACAACCCGAAGTCTGGAGGGGTAGTCCTTACATTAAAGGAGTCTCCGAGGCGGTTTCACGACTGTTACAACCCGCCAGTGTAGGCATTGCACACTGACTCCAGACAACAATTCGTCGCCGTTTGATGCAACCCAAAGACATACTGCCACCCACTGAAACCTCAGCCGTTGTATATCAAATACGTTGTAACGATGGAGACTGCAACTACGTTGGGGAAACGGGACGGAAATTGCAGACCCGTCTACATGAGCACAACCTGGCAACTCGGAGACTAGACCCAAACTTACAGCTTGCGGCTCACATCGGAGAAACTGGTCACAGTTTTGATTTTCAAGGAGCAGCCGTCTTAGACAGGGGCTCCTCAAGGACAGAGCGTCTCACACTTTAGGCTTGGTACTCAGAAGCCAACTCCATCAGCAGGCATTTAGACCTTCCTTCTGCCTATGAAATCCTACGTCACTACATACGCCGTGACGAGGACAAGGCAGTCATACGGAGCCTAAGACTACTGAGCGAACACGAGCTGTCGACCAATTCATCCAAAAGGGAGACGCAAACGCAACTAACCCCAACTGAGGTGACGACATACAGTACAAAAGGGCACCAAAACTCACAGGCGACGGTCAGTAGACCATGGCAACGAAAGAAGAAAAAAAACGATAATCCCGATGCCAACTAATCCCGCTGTCCCTTCAAAATTCTGATCGATTTTTTCACTGAGCGCTTTGATAATGGAGAGCCGGCCCAGGACTTCGAAACGTCCGACAAACAAGTGCCTCGATTAGGTGAGCACTTCATTTTCCTCAATGTGCGGTAGATTATGCGCAAGTCTACTATCATTATAACCTAATGCACGTGCACGTCACCG